ACGCTTATAACTGAAGAACCGCAGGTCGACTTTTCCGATTCAGGCAAATCGGAATTGTCTCTTGGCGGAAAAGGATTAAAATCCAAAAAAAAAAATAGCGTTAAAAATAAAAGATTTGAAGTTTTTTCACTTGACTTTGAAATGTACAATAGCAATGTTTTATTTGTTATGATTTTTGTTCATTTTGACTTACTATTTCGCATGTATATCATGAAGTTTTTTTTTTCATTTTTATATGAGTTTTTTTTTTTTTTTTTTTTTTTTTTTGGGTGGTATAAAGCGGCAACGGACAAAACTGTGTAAGTCGAACTATACTAAGAAGATACAAAGTAAAAAGAAAGTTGTGTTAGTTACTACGCTTATAACACAATAACGGCTAGAAGGATTTTGACAATTCAAACAACTTCGAAATTATATCTTGGCAAAAAAAAAAATCAAAAAATACTGCCAATAGGAATATGAATGAAAAAATTGTTGTAGCATGTTTTTTTCAATTTGATATACTTTATTGAAGTGTACATTTTTATTGTTTTGAATTCTGAATGAATAATATAAAAAAAAATATTGCGCAATACGATGTTAAATGGCATACGATTCATGTCTAAAATTGACATCTAGCTTTCAACTCCAGGACTTACATCGTTCTTCACTATAATATGCGAACACATTTAAACTAATAAAAAGGCCGACAAAGCGTTCTTCTTCTTTGATATGACAATAATCCGTCCAATGAGAACTCTAAATTCAAAATTCATTTAGTGAAATACGGAATATAAAGGGTGCAAAAATAGTAGAGCTAATTGGACATTTAGATTTTTTTTGTCATACTAATACATACTTTTCTAATATCGACAAATGTGTGTATATCTATATATAATATATATATCTATATATATATAATATATATAATATATATATATATATAATATATATATATATGTATATATATATATATATATATATATATTTCGAATAATTGAGATAGAAGGCCGATATATGGGGGATACACGAGAACTTGGACCTGCATAGAAAATATTCGGTTATAGACTGTAGTACCCATTACGAACTTCAAATCTGAAATGTTTAGAATAACAAATGGAGTGTGGAATTGCTCTAAAATTAGAAATATCTATAGTGTGTATGTAAATGTTTGCTAAATAGGGACTTATTCAGTTTATTCAAATTGGATCATATTTGCTTATTTGATTTAATTGCTTTTATGTTTCACATTAAAGTAAACCTTATCAATTGCCAACGAATGGTAAGACTGTAAATGTGAGCGATTAAATTGTGTACTTTTCCATTTATTTCGGAAAACAAAAATTTAACATTTTTCCATATTCCATTATCATGATTTTAATTATCAACATATCATTTCGCTTAAGTGAAACTGATTAGTCTATCTGGCTGGCTGCTACCACACGAGAGAGATTACACAAACAACGCCTTATAGACAAGCAACTTAAGGTAATTCCCAATGGTGCATTGTCCATACCTTCGTTGCTGTAAAATGGTTACAATTTGCTAGCTTCATATGAATTATGAGTCCCTAGGTATACCAAAGAAAATCTCGAGTATTTACACCCATTTTGTATTTAAAAATCAAAATTAAAAGCTGTTTGGAATGCGTAAAATATGGGCAACAAACTTGAAATAAAAGTCTTAAATTTTGTTTAAAAATACATGTGATTGCTGTAGAATGATATGTAGAATACATTTTGATTTGAGAAAGGATTGATAGGCTTTATTGAAAAAAGCAAGCAAAAAGACATTAAGTTCGATCGGGCCGAACTTTTAGTACCCTCCACCATTAGGTACATAGATATTCAACTTCCTGTCAACGGAACTGGAACCCATTATGAACTACAAATACAGATGTTCACACAAATCCATGGAAAAATGTGCCAAAAATCATAAACATACGGAATATTCGGAGGTACCATTATGTGGGGCTATACGAAAACGCGGACCTATACATACTATGTTCCGCCACAGGAGAGAGAATCCATTACGAACTACTTGAACGGGTGATTTATTCGTAGCCTGTACTGACTGGCAATATATTGAGATTTGCGCTCCAAGCAATCTATGTATATATGTATGTATACAAAATTATAAATAAAGAGACATCGGCTGTTATGGAGGCCCACACCATCACCATGGCCGACGCTTGAGTTCTGGTGGCCAACCGAAGGTGCACATTTTCAGCTGATCTCTTTGGCAAGTAAACACGATCATTTTGTTTGTTTACAAACCGCTGAACAACGAATGTTTTCTCACTCAGCAGTTCACCACTTTCTTCCACGCGAAGCATCTCTTTAGCTCTTTTGAGTCTATTTTCTATCTGTTGCGGTGTATGTTCTTGCGCTTTTGAAATTTCAATGGCTTTACCCCTAGCACATTTTATATACATATTTGCCGAAGGGAATATTGCGATATGTTCAGCTCACGAGCCATTTTTCGGCCACTGCGACGCGGGTTTCGACCAAGTCGCTTCCTTCCTTTCGAACCATTTCTGCTGATGTTGCTGTTTTCTTACGTCCACTTCCTTGACTTCGGGCCACTTACCAGTATCACGGTGAAGAGCGATGGTACGAAACACAAAAGATTCATTCACATTTAAATACTGGAGTGCTCTAACGGGTTTTCAGCCAAATATAAAGAAATCACACTATCACGCTTGAATTCCATCACGAATAACTATTTTTCTGGAAAATTCTCACCAAAATGCTTTTATGCGCTTGTAAACAATAAAAGGAGCTGTCATTGGAATAGTTTCAACAGCTGTCAGACGAGTGGCTTGGAAATTACAGTAGTCTGAAGTTTGTTGCAGTTATTTCATCTCACCCTACGTTAAGGCAGTCGAGAGAATGTTATGAATTTAGAGAAACTCAATTTAAGTCAACTTTGACTGCTTTTCGTTTTTATTTTCGATTGGTTTAGAAAACTGGTATTTGTTTTGGTATTATGAAACAGGACGTAAATCTAATTTCTAAAATGTGTGCAAAGTATTCTTGAAAATGATATTCGATTTTAAATTCACATTATGAGAGTTTATATAATTTTTATTTGGGTAAATTTATCCCTCCATCAATATCATCCTCTTGGCAATTGTAGCTCAGTAGCATTCCGACGATATAGCTCTGTATCAGCGACATACGCAAATCATTTAATGGTTAACCATATCAGGTGCCACAACCCTGCAGACTTCCCCGCCCAGTACCAATCTACAAAAATAATTTCGACAATTGTGAAAATATTTTTATGCACACATGTTGAAAAACTATTTTCTATCGGTTGTGCTCAGTCAGTCAGTTGTAAGAAATCGCTCGATTGAATCGAGTTTTAAAACATTACAAGTATTGCACACTATTTAGTATTTGAAATATCCTAATTTAAATTTAAATTCCCTAATGTTCAGATTTTAGGGGATAAAAAATCTTACCAGTAATCAAAATATTTTCCATTAAAGAAAAATTCCTCAGTCGCTTGTGTAGACATTTGCCATTTTATTTATAACGTTTGCCACATTTTATTTGAGGATAAAAAAAGTTGCGTGCATGCGAACTTAAAACGCCATCTTAGCAAATTTTGTATTCCCAAATAATTTCTCAATATAGAATGGTTACAAATTAAACAACAACCATACAATTGTGATAACCTTTAAACATTTACTTCTGGCTTGGCCTAAATTATAATCAAGTCTTATTTTAAAATCTACTCTGTGATATTGAATCTATTGTGTACACAACAACGATATATAAACACAACAATTCTAAAAAAATAACAATAACAATAATGATAATAATTTATGCAAACAAACATAAACGGGCTTGTCTGATAAGATTTTGCATATCATCGGCACCACACGACTTGTTCCACAAACAAAAACAAAAAACTCAACCTAAATAAATATATTTCGGCTAATTCAGAAGTTCATCGAATTGTTGTAGTTGTCGCAAGAGACAGTTTTGCTTCTATTTCAAGGGAGCATCACTCTACAGTCGCCTCTCAGTTTTGTCGATAAGAACGCCGACACGTGCTGTCAAAATGATTTCCATTATTTTATTTTACTGCGTATTTAATTTGTTTACGCTGGAACTACCTGTTCGGAAAAAGTTTGCTCGGCGCGAATGCCTATATGTACACCATATTAGACAGTGGAATATTTCCAAACATTTCTGCCGCGCTCATTTATGATTCTGGACACATTGGTTCGATAAGAGCGAGTTATTCAAAGCAGAACAATTCAAATGTGGAATGATGGGAATTAGTCTAAAATTAAAACTGATATTAATTTATTCGCGAAAAATGGACGAATACGAAGCAAACGAGAGACACGAACTTGCATCAAGTGCGATAACACACCCTTTTAGACGAGCAGACGAGCCCCATAATAAACAACCACGTATTAGAGAATTAGACGCTCGAACAAAAACAAAATACAATCGACGATCTACCCGGCCCCCTTTGTTTTGGAGCTTTGCGAAGGGAGCTGTCATATCAGAAAAAGCAAAACAAACAAATACATTATTACAATAGAAATATCGGTTAGTTGGTATTCTCCATTTTTCCGTTCAAACAGCTGTGTCGTCTTTCTTCCACAATGGAATTGGCAAAATAAACAATTTTTTAATTATTAAAAACAAAATGACCGCGTTTTTTTTAATTATAAGATAATTTTATTAGCAAGCTCTCGAAGCTAGGTGGATGAGTTTTAACGTAGACAGAAATGTGGTGTATTCGACAAAAAATTTACTGCAGAAATTGATACTTCTGACGATCATAATTAGATAGAATTCCACACATCTTCAAATGCATATTTTTTTAAAAATAACTATCTAAAACTAGCTTGCAATTGGGTTCGAGAAATTATCCATTGTTTCAAATTATGCTTTCCATATATCACCAAAGTATCAAATAATTTAATGTTTCTTCACCGATTCTCTAATCCCGCCATACTACTATGGCATCGTGGATATTCGGCCTCAGAATCGTCCTGGCTCTTGGCTCGGGCTTTATATACAAATGTTATTTTACCATGACAGATGTTTACCAAATTTGTTATTTTCTGCTCAAATCGTATGTGGCTTCGTATATATGTTGTCCATATCGGCATAAATTATTTTGTGTACCCAACACTAACTTATTAGAGAGTTATATATTCAGAAAAAAAAAACTCACTCAAAATACAAACGCCGAATAGTTGCCGATAGAACGAAGATTTCGTTGTAGGGAGAAACTACTTGGGCACTCAGTCGCTATCGAAACGGCGAACTAAACTCATCGTCGGACGGTTGCACGGCGACAGTGGTAGATAAGAATTAGTTTTTTTTAATAAAAACACACACACGGACAACTAAGGATCTGTACCGCCCCTAAAAGGACACACAAATCAAAATTTGTTTTAAACTCTTACTCCGATCACAACCACAAAAATGATCATCAGACGTGGCGATATTTTAACCAAGCATTTAAGTCGCAAAAGTTTTGCTACAAAATACCCAGCTAAGCATTTCTCGATAGCTGTTCGTAGGTATGTGCTTAGAAAAAAATGTAAATTCAATACCTACAAATCTACATAAAAGCTAATGGAAAAGTGTAAAATGGCAATTATAATCAGATGTGTTAAAAAAAAATAAATTGAAAAATACTTATTACGGCGTTGTGTAGCTGAAAAGAAACCAAACAAAACAAACAACATATAACGTTAAATGACATTTGTAATGGAAGAAGTATTGTGTGGATAAAAATATAGAAAACATTGAAAAAATAAGATTACGATAGTGAGAATAAGTTCCATCATAGTTTACTTTAATTTTATGTTATTTTTTTAATAGTTGTTTTTATTAGAACAGACATGTTTGTTCGAGATACGGTAGTTTTTTTTTATTATAAAAATCAGGATACAAAAAGTTCCGACATTCAGCAATACCAATATTTCTGATTCATAAATTGAAAATAATATCCAATTTTTATGCTCTAATTTTAGAAATATTGTCCAATACCCATTCCAAATAAAAACAATATATTTATTTTTTGAGTGGAACTACAAAAAAAGCTCAAATTGCAATCACATAAAAAAATAGTAATTTACATTTTGCCTGAAATTTAATAAAGATTCAAACTCATATCAAATATGCTATGCTTAGACCGGACAAATATAATTAATTGAATTTAAAGAACCCTTGAAAATCAATAAACAAACACTAAAAAATTCCCATGATAACGAACAATAACAAGTACAATATTTCGATAACATATTCTAATCTTGAAAGAGAAAATTAAAACATCTTTTGTGCTTTGCCAATAAATGGCATGATCAGACACATACACACATCATGATAATGCTAATGTTAGCTTTGAGAACAAAAATAAACCTAAATGCGAATAAATTTGGAAATTGTGTGAATTTTTTATGAAAATATCAAATTACATTTTTTAAGCTTAAAATTTGTATACGTTTTTACGTTGAGATTCATTATTATCATTTCACAAATGTACGCTTTCAATATTTTGTGACAATTTTTACAAAACGTTTCTGAATGTTGTCTTCTTACCCAACGTTCAGTATTATGGGAGAAATGCGTTTTAATAAATTTAAACTAAGAACACAAAAATATATGTGTATAATAGCTTAATAATTTGTAAAAATAATTACCAAATTTTGTTCGATACCCCCAGAAATCACGAACAAATTCTCACGGTTGTTTCTCTGGCAGTTTTCCAATACTTACTGCAAACATTTTTTCAATAATAGTTATTCAGAATTATCAGCTGCGAAAGTGCCCAAAAAATGTCACGTAATAATTTAAATATTTAAATCATATTGATCCAATTTATTAACAGTTATAGTGTAGCGCATTCATTTTTCGAAACAGCATATTTCTTGCTGGATTTTACTGAATGTTTCTCAAAAAATATTGCTACACTACAACTGTTTTAGAAAAAGAAAAAAATCTGAGTATTTTTTACTAGAAAAGTCACACCTAATATTTACCCGAAAATATTCATTAGAGTATTGTGAATTCAAGACTCCCGTAAATGAGAACGACTTGGAGGAGCAAATCTTGACGGATAACTTACTGAGAGTTTCCAATTTTTTACTAAGAAGTTTTTCTCAATAAGAATTGTCCGTTTTTATCGCTTGATAAAATTTCAGGAAATAATTAAAATGCCTTATTTTATTTTATTATTTCTTTATTTTGTTATTATATAAGTTTGATTGGACCAAATTGGACTATATATGGATTTTCCTATCTCGCCCAGCTGAGTCGTCCATGTTAAATTGTAATCACACTATAGGTCGCAATTATGAACCGATCCCCGAATTGAGAACGGAGATGGGGTTAAGGTCAGAATAGAACCCTATAGAACAGATGATCGCAAAATATTTAGGGGTTGAAATGGTTTGGTCATAACTCTAACTGGATCATAACTTTGATGTGAAAAAATACGAAAAACGCGAATAAAATGTTACCTCTGACCGTTACAGTGATACTGATAGCCAAGGGTACATAGCAAAATAGGTACAATCTATGTGTACAAGAAATTGATGTTAGTTATTCCGCTTATAAGTCACAAACCGCTTGACTAATTTTGGCAACTCTCACCAATTCGAATTGGCCTCTTGCCAGAAAAGGATAAAATCTAAGAAAATCGCAATTGTCGGCCGATTCTCACAAAATTTAGCATGGAGGTGAGGTTAGGGTCTGAATATAAGCCAATTTTTTTAAAGATGTATATTTAGGGCTCTAAATGGACCAAAAAATTTAATATATCTGATATTGCAGTCGCACTATGGATCAGAATTAAAAACCAATCGACCCGAAATTTTGCATGGATAAGGAGTTAAGGACAGGGCAGAAATCTAGCATTTATTTTTTGGAAAATTGTTTTGAATACCAATTAGCATGACAGAGAGTGGTAAATATAGGACAAATGTCAAAAACCAAAGGTAAGGTGGTTTTCCCGCACGACTATAGGCTTTGCTTATTTGTTTTTTATTTAATTAGTTTTTTTTTTATTTTTCAATATAATAAATAAAAAAACAATAGTGATAGAATATGGGCACAATCAGAAAATAATTATAATTAGGTAGTAAAAAGCAATACCTTCAAATTATGCCACAATATTTTGGATTACCTCAAACTGCCCCTACGCTCAGACTAATTAATATTATTGCCCTTATATTACAAACAAATATTAAAATTTAAATAAATTTTGTCGCAAAGATAATATTTAATGGCATTCGCATTTCTGAAGGTTAAACTAAAAGAACGTTTATGTAGCACAGCATCATCAGATAATTCAGCTTTGTCGCCGGGAATGCTCTTTAACTCAGTTCCATAGTTGATAGATTACTGACTGCAATGTGTAATTGTGAAAGAATTTTTGCAATATACAATGTAATGAATGCTCCACGAATAGACTGGAAGAAACCTTAAAGACATCCTTTAGTATGGTATCCTACAAACTTTTATTTAATTAACTAAGGGAAGGATGAGATTGTTCTACTTCTATTTGGCAACATCTTACAATGATTTTTTCAAACGCTTTGCTATTTTATTTCCTGAGGGCGGATTAATAATTTATTGATCTTCCATTGAAACTTCTTTGAATTATGACAGGCCTGGAATAAATGGCCGTTAATAATTTTTCCCTCAACAAAATACTTTTGTTTGTGAAAATCTGTTATAACAACGTTTAAAATCGTTTCAGCCTATCAGCATCCACATGCAGCCCAACCACACCGTGGGAGAGCAATCAAAGCTATTTCTGCCACAAGAGCAAAAACCCATTAGTTTATCGTAACGTCGGGCAAGAATTGGAGAAGGCTGCTAGGATCCATGGAACTACAGAAGCAATTGTGTCCTACCATGAGAATAAACGTTATACGTTTAAGACCCTGCTCGAAGAAGTGGATCGCATTGCTGCCGGCTTTCTCAAGTTGGGACTGCAGAAAGGTGATCGAGTGGGCTTATGGGGGCCCAACAACATGCACTGGTACTTGTCAATGATGGGTGCCTGTCGAGCTGGTCTCGTCTCGGTTGGCATCAATCCAGCATTTCAAGCTCCCGAACTGGAATATTGTTTAAAGAAAGTCAATGTGAAGGCCATTGTCTCCCCACTGACGCACAGATCACACAACTACTATGAAATTATAAGTTCACTGTGTCCAGAGATTGCGTCGAGCCAGAAAGGCGATCTTAAAAGTAACAATTTGCCTCATTTAAAAGCGGTGATCATCGATACAGAGGAAAATCTTAAAGGAGCATTGAAGTTTAACGAACTATTGGATATTGGTAATGGAGGAGATCTGAAAGAAATTGAAAATCTACAACCCCACATCATACCAGACTCACCGTGCAACATTCAATTCACATCGGGCACGACGGGTCAACCAAAAGCTGCCGTCCTTTCCCACTACAACTTCGTCAATAATGGCATCCATATTGGACATCGTAATCAGACATTTGGTGCAAGGATATGTGTGCAGGTGCCCCTCTTCCACGCGTTTGGCGTTGTCGTGACCATGATGCCAGCCTTGACACATGGTGGGACGTTGGTTTTACCCTCCCCCGCATTCAATCCGGAAGCATCTCTGAGGTCCATAGTAGATGAGAAATGTACCGTTATCCATGGAACACCAACAATGTATGTGGATGTGATTCGGAAGCAAAAGGAACTGGATTTGCCCTTGAGTACGCTAAAAATGGCAGTGACCGGCGGAGCCATCTGTACACCGCAACTATTCCTTGACATGCAGAACATTTTGAAAGTAAAGGAGTTCCGCAACGTTTATGGTCTAACGGAGGCAACAGCGTCTATTTTCCAAACGGGACCTAATGATTCCGTTGAACAAATCCTAAACACGGTGGGTCATGTACAAGATGATCTTGAGGTCAAAGTTGTCGATACGAATGGCAACACTGTGCCGTTTGGCCAGCCTGGAGAGTTGTGCGTTCGAGGCTACAGTACAATGCTTGGCTATTATGGAGATGAGGCGAAAACAAGGGAAACCATTGGAGCCGATAAGTGGCTGCGTACAGGGTAAGTTGCTTGAGAGTGCTTTAATGACAAGAGATAATTGGATGCATTCCCTTTCTCTCTCTCCCAGGGATCAATTTGTTTTGCAGCCCGATGGATATGGCCGCATTGTAGGACGTCTAAAGGAAATGATCATCAGAGGTGGCGAAAATATATTCCCCAAAGAAATCGAAGACTTCCTCAATACCCACGATAATATCATAGAAGCCCATGTAAGTACATCAGTTGGCCCTACATTTTCGACTTATTTAATTATGTCGACTGTCCTTTTCAGGTGATTGGTGTTCCAGACGAACGCTTGGGCGAAGAACTGTGCGCCTTTGTGCGTTTACAAGACAACACCAAAGCAATAACCCGCGATACTCTTAAGGAATTTTCCCATGGAAAATTGGCCTATTTCAAAGTTCCTCGCTATGTTGTAATAGTTGACGAATTTCCAAAAACAACGTCGGGAAAAATTCAAAAGTTCAAATTGCTCGAACAATTCCAGCGAATCCAAAAAGGTGATATGGCAAAAGAAGTTAGAAATTAGTTACATTTAGGTTATACTCGTACTGTGTGTTTTTTTAATATTTTGTGATATACGTATGTACTTTTGTAAATAAAAGAAAAATATTTTTTATAAAAAAACTTCTATTGGAAATCAGTGTCTAGGGGGATCGGGGGCTGAAAATACCGCCCCCCCCCCTAACTGGTAGCTATAAATACCCTATAATCCACTTTCAGTATTTTAGTCGAGCGTGTTATCCTATGTCGTATGATGGCTTTCCATCTAATACTCTACCTTAGAGCATGAGATTTTTTATTCCAACCAAATTATAAAATAAACAAAATTGATTTGTTTTTAAATATTTCTCAAAACAATATTCATGTTTCGGGTTTCTTTATTTTACTTAATTCTCTCTTTCTTTGTTCATTTGCAATTTTTTTTTTGCTCATAAATTATTAATAATATTATTATTGTTGCTAATCTTATCATAACTTTTTGAGTTTACTAGTAATCGGTTTAGGCTAATGACCATCTACACATACATACTCTCATACACTATGATTGAAGAAAAACGTTGGAACAAAATAAACAAGAAAGGCAATAAAAATATGGGAGGATTGAGAAAGCGTTATCACTCCCACAAGAAGTTAAATTTTAACGGAGTCAAACAAAAAAACGTTGTAAATTTAATTCGAACGAAACAAAAAAAACTTTATTAATCGAATCGAAGTAAATACACACACGAAAAATAAACAAATTGAATCCCTCTCAAAATGTATTTAAGAATTGCTGAACTTTCTTAAGTGTTCTCTATTTGGATACTGTATAAAATATAGCAATTGTATTGATCGCCTTATAACTAGTTTCAAGATCTCTAATGTATGTATCAGTGGTTTGGTTCAATTGCCTCATTTAAATAAGCCGTTTTTTGCATTTGTATCTTATAGTTTCAATGCGATTACATTTTTCGTAATATACTAATACATTTAATTATTTTTTTTATAATAATAATAATAATTTAACAAACAATCTAATAAAGGACGAGAATCAATTTACAAATTTGTCAAAGCCATAAATAAATATACGATTAGATGAAGTAAACACTTATGAACAATTTAAGACACGGATGTAATTAGGAGTGGGAGTGCCATCTATTTAAACCCTCTCAGTAAGATCTTGTGCAGGCTATTTGCATAGTTTTGTATATCTAAATGTCAACTCTATTCAACTGACATAACGAAAATTATAAATCGTTCAATAGACGGCTTTGGATTCCTTTCGGCTATTTTCGGTATTTTTCCTACTTTATCAATTTTACAAGACCTAAATGCGTTGCCCGATCAAAGTAATTATATGCAGTTTTTTAAGTAAAGGATAAGAATATCGAAAGTGAAGCAATGCGTTTTCTAATATATGTGTATGTCATTATTTTTTGAGTCTTCCGACGATCTTAGTATATTGGTCGAAAAAAAAAAACAAATATGACAAGAATCGAACATGTACAAAAATGCCACAATGCCTGCCCAAAGAAAAGCTTGGTGGATTATCGATCTTATCACTTTTTGATGAGTTCTTATCAGTATCTGCTTTCCGACCAAATGCCGCATGTCGGAGAGAATACAAATAAAAATGTATTTCATAATTTACACGTAACAATGTTTCTTGGGGGGTTTCTTTTCTTTTTATTATAGCTTCTTTGTTAGATTATGAGCTTTTTGATTTATCTTCTGTTGTATTCTCTATTAAATAAGTTCACAAATAAATAAAGTATAATATATTGTATGTATGTACATGTAACAGATTTCAAAGAACATTTCATTTTTTTTAAAGTAAAAGTTAACTAAACATAGGTGATTAGCATTAAAATGTGTTTTTGATGATGTTGTTTTTATTGTAAATTCTCAATCTAAACGGACGCACCAAGGGGTTGTATTACATTGGACAACGTACACTCACGATCGTGAGGCCAAACATCATTTCCCCAGATCGAACCATTTTCATACCTTCATCATTGGCTGGTAGTAGCTGTGCTTTTTTATCTTCCAAGTCCCCTCTAAATTGTCGTCACAGGAGTGTTCTAATAAACAATGGTGATGATTTGCGCAAATGTGTCCCATTTATCAATTCTCATGGTCAAGATAAGATGGAGCTCCAACTCATGCTTGCCATCTTAAAAACTATCCTCATCGTCCTCTTGGACTTCATACATGTCATGACGTACTAGGTCATGTCATAGCGTAGAACTGTTTGCGAGGCCATCTGCATCTTCGGACCAGCTGACTTCCATCGGTGTGCCCGACAGGCTATTCATTTTCTCCATTAGTAAGACATCTTCTATGGACATTCGTGAATTTTTCAATTGGTTTGATGAGTTTGTCGTATCCGAGTTACCTGAAGATGAGGCTGTGCTGACAACATCATCCGACGAAGCCGAACAACTCTCATCCTCAGAATTTGTACCCGAAACCATAGCTTCTCCGGCGGACTCTTGGATCTCTTGGCATTTCTTGATTACTTTCAAGTCCTGGACAGAAGGAAGAGAGGGAAGCGAACGCATCTCTAAGCGTTCACCTTTATTTAAGGCGGAGGTGTCACAAGTAATTAGCTTAGCACTACCCCGCCTAAACAGGACATCTTCATTTTGTTCATTATCAATTTTTAAGGTTGACGTTCTGGGTCTAATGCTGAAGGGAGAACTGGACGTCAAAGGCTCTTTGAAGTCGGCTGGATCCAAGCTTTTTCGTGAGCTACCCGACGATAATTGTCGCGACAATTTTGACGATGATGACTTCTGCTTCTGCTGCAAGGCCTCACAGCCCTTTACACTAACTGATTTTGAGCGTATTCGGGGGTGTAATCTATTATTAAATTCACTTGTTTCAACTTTGGAATGTTCTCTTATCACGGAGGTGGCGGACATGGACTGGGAGAGAGGATTCGGCCCAGTTGTATCCAATAAACTATTATTAAACGTTTGTCCCGCATTTGCGCTGACCGACAGTTGTTTTCTCATGGAGGAACTACGTTCCACTGACCTAAATGAACCCGCACGTTTGACCATTTTCGTGGCAGCAGCTTCAGGAGTTTCGTCGTCCATTTCCAGTACCCATGACACTGAGTCGGTCTTCTCGATAACCCCTTTAATAACTGGCGAACTCGGTGGAGAAATGTCGTCCATGTGTAGCGATGTATTTAAGGCAGAACCATTCGAGGATGAGCGATTGGTAATTGAGGTCGACGACATTTCATGGGACGACAGTTCGTGAAGTTTAGTCTCCACCAGATGCAGCTGTTCGGAACGTTGCTTCAATTGCCACTGCAGGGCTTCATTGTCGTAGGACAGTCGGGTGCGCTTAACGGTTTCATGATTGAAGGCTTTTTGAATTTCATCGATTTGCCTCAAGTATTCCCTGTTGAAAAAAATATAAAATAAGTGAATCGGTAACAAAAGCGTATCCATTGAACTTACTTCTCTTTTTCCGACTTGATCTCCATCTCTGAAAGCAGCATTTCATTCTTGGATTCTAATAGAGAAAGCTTTCCCTGCAAGGTTAACTTCTCGTCGGCATCCCTTAACAACTCTTCATTTTGTTTGGTCAACTTGGAGATTTCCTTCTGCTTCAATTCCAAGACACATCTTAAGCTTTCTATTTCATTTTGGAGCCGCGAAAGCTCCATGTTTCCCACGGCAGAGCATGATGAGGTGTTCCGCGGCGAACAGACTCCACTTTCATTTAGGCTTCTACGCGTTGTACGCAGGATGGCAATTTCATCATTCGAGAGATTCAGTTTATCCTTCAAATCCCGTTCGTTGCTCTCCTTTTGCGACTTGAGCCTATCCAGTTCTTTGGTTAGCGACTTGATGCGTTCCATTAGTTCTAGTTCTCTTTCGGCAGACTGTTGCAAACGCTTCGAGCATGATTCTTCTGTTTGGGTAAGTCTTTCGCGTAACTTCTCCTCGGAAATTTCTAAATCTTGCAAACGTTGCTGTAGCACACTCTCACGTTCCTCCTTACTTCTAATTTGATCCAATTTTTCGGAGAGCTTCTTTTCCATTTCACTTCGATAGCTATCGAAATTGTTGCGATGCTCCGCCTCGGTACTTTCCAGTTGTGATTGTAAAGTTGAAATTTGTTGTTTTGCTGCAATTTCGAATTCCTCAAAATTTGATCGGGCTAAAATGTAAACAATGAAAGAATATTTAAATATACTCCTTGTAATGCAGAATGATGTAGATCATACCTTTGTCCAATTCGCATCGATGTAAGGCCTGCAATTCATTTTCTCTTTGCATATAATAGGCATCCTTATCACAAAGCTGATCCTGCAACTCGGAACAGGAACTTTTAGCTTCATCTAGTAATAACAGGGTTTTCTTTAATTTGTCCTTTGTTTTGGCATTCTCAGATCTCAGCGATGGACATGCAAAAGCATCCAACTGTAAGTAGAAAGTATCGAAACAAATGATGGTAATTAATGACAATGGATAAGAGATCTCCATCAGGTAGAACAAAATTTGCTAATGACCCTACTTTAATTCCCTCTAATTAGAATATAATGGCGGCACATACCGTAGACGTAGAATCCAAACATTTGGATTTATAATGACAAGCATTAGGCGATGTCAAGGGAGTCCATGAAATTAATTCCAAGTCCATGTTTTCGTTGGGAAATACAAATTTGGCAAACATTCTTCTTTCAAATATCCCTTTTAGACAAAAATAAAAATGTTTCACTCTCTGTGACTGAAAACAAACTGACGCCTACGTCGTTTAGACCTAACTATTTATAGCTGCGTTCTATGTTTACGTCCTGCCAGCAGGTAGCGGATAACGCAACCGACACTACACCATCTGTTGCTTTTATTCCTTTTTTTTCTTATTTCAACACATGTATCCTTCTTATTCCACGCCCAATAGTCATCAGAACAATTGTTGCTTCGTAAATAAATCCTATCGTGTCTAACAATCGATCTCGTATCCTATTGTCATTTTTGGGGTTTCCATTGTGTCCATTGATGCGCCCAAAATGAAGTATTTTCTCTCTTTCTGCCATATGTTTGGTTTCTTTTCCACTTTGTTTCGGTACAGTACACAAAAAGGGCCTGCGAGTCCGCAACACAAATAAAATATCTCTAAGTAAAATATTATATTTTTCAATAGCACGCACTATTCAAAATCGTCATCTGCGGTGTGAAGAACCTGTACTCTAAAGATAAGATGGAACATATTCCATCACAATTCGGAATTTGAAACATAAACTGTACTCAATATCTTTTTAAATTTCTTACAACTTTATTCGGATATGACAAAAATTATATTGGCAAATGGAATTCTCAAACCAACTACCAAAATTATCTTGGTCTCATTTGAATAAGAGGATGATTTTGCGAAATAATTTCTAATATCAGTGGCAGCGTACTCTCTAGAAGTCATCATCAAAATATGGGAAAGGATGTGTTTCAATATTTGGTGGTATTTTCCCATTTTCACATGAGCAATGAATTGCAAAGCAACTTATTATGTGCTTTGGTAAACATAATGACAATAATGACAACGGTGTCAAAAATAACAAGGGATTTCCAGCAATTAAAATAGATTATAACCCAGATTAAGCTGATTGTAAGAGGAGAAAAATTACGTAGTTTTTATTTAACATCTGTTGCGACTTTGCACATTCGTGTGTCGTAATGTGACCAATATTGACACTGTGTGAGTGACAAATGATTTTGGCACAACCTAAAAAGACCATAGCTAAAAGGCAAGTCAATCTCTTAAAATCTTTAGCTCAAATAAACAAATGCGGAATGTTAGGTAAACGAAACTATAAATATAGCTTCGCTCAATACCTGGAAAAGTGGGCTATTTAAAAAATAAATAAAACTGCCCAGCAAACAATCAATCCCTTTATGATACGTACGACATGAGAGCCATAGTAAAAAAACCTTAGCCAATTAGCCTTATATTGGTATCTCCCTACTGACGACCTTCCATTGCCTACTAATCTCATAATACAAATGTATTAACGTTTGTTTAATAATTGCCGTTCTAATTAATTAATTAATTACTATTTAAACATATCGAGAATTGATTTATGTCGCGTCAGGTCTCTTCCACATTGTTAACTTCATTTTAATACAACAATGGCAATTATGTTATAATTTTTGGTTTCCAAATCTTGGAGATCTTGGAGTTGTTTTAATCCTGTCATGTCATTTTAGACTCGCATTACTTATATTTCATGTAGCAATGCAAAAACGTTATTATTTAAATATATCGAGAAATTGTGTGGAGTGTTCACATGATTATAATTTAACAATTATTTTCGCAGTCTTTATGAGATCTAAAATGTTAAAACTGCACCCAAGTATTCAACGTTACTGCTCGCCACTTACGATATTCAACTAACGTTGGCTCTTTGTTTTTTATGTCAACATGAATTAACAGAATGAATTCAGGCAACATATAGAATGAATTTAGCATTTCAAAACACAACCTCAGGTTTCAGGTTTCATTGGGTATTTTAAGGAATCTGTAATATCCACATTAATCATAGTCTGTAAAGAAATTATGCTATTAATATCGAAATAAATATTGTGTTAGAAACATTCTAGTTTACGTTGTAAACAATCTATGTTGATGAACGGCGTTAAAGGAAAATTAAGAAAATCGACTTCTTTACGAGAAATTTTTTGTAAAACCTGTAATGTTTTCATTCGTCCCGTGCAAAAGCATAAACCCTATTCGAAAGTCTGCTTATTTAAAAAATGTTCTATTATTCAAGAAAGAAGAACTGAAAACTCAAATAATTTGAATGTTACCAATTATAGTTTTTCTGGTGTATAACGTATTAATTTTATATATATTAAAAAAAAACCACCTCGGATATTAATCATAAATATTTACAATCTTGGGAATTTGTAATTAACTCTCTGTAAAGAAGTAGCTGCGTTTTGGAAATTTACTTTACGACACATGTAATTAACATATGGTTAAACTGAATTGAATCGCGCTACCTGCAACCAAATACACGAAAAAGTATCTACAGGTAAACGGTACATTCCGCTGAAAAATATAGTTGACATTTAACACTATTTTCAAGCAAAACAATAGATTGAAGCTGTTGATAGGACCTCCATCCCTTTCTTTCTTTCAGTGAAACAATTAATTTACAGCATTACTACGTTGTTTTTAAAACACAAACAGTAGGTTCGCGATAAACAACAACCCTCAAATGTGTACGTAAATATTTTGTTTTCCCAATCCAAAATCAAAACATTGCAAAACAAAACATGGCTGAATGGGGAAATTGCTTCTCTTATCAATGAACCCTTTCAATTTCTATTCTACTACCAACTACCTAGGTCAACAACAGTTCGTGGGTATTTCACTATTAGCCAAAATAGAAATATTGTTACCATTACCAAGATATACCAAAAATGAGTTCAGAAATGGATATAACGAATATTATTTTGTGTTTTTTACCAAAATCCTTTTAAAGCGTCTTAATTCTAAAGTTTTTTTTTATTGCCAAAATAGTGTAGAGCTCTAAACTTTCAAAAATGCACTCGAGAAAATAATGAGGTACAAACTGTATAATGTATATTGAATCGCATGTGTGCCTTGAATTCACATTGATTGGAACTTACATCCAAGCCAAACATATCGTGCTACCGACAACTGTTAAAATTATTCCAGTGACAGTTCGTTATATTCTTTACAAGCGTACAAAAGCATTTTGATGAAATTTTTCCAGAAAAAAGTTATTCGTGATGGAATACAAGCGTGATAGTGTGATTTCTTTATATTTGCAGTAAAACCTAAAGTGGCTGTCGTTAGAGCACTCCAGCATTTAAATGTGAATAATTTTTTATTTTTTTGTCTCGTACCATCGCTCGTTGCAGTGATACTGGTAGCGTAGCCCGACATCAAAGAAGTGGACAGAAGAAAACAGCAACATCAGCAGAAATGGTTCCAAAAGAAAACGCAGTGGCCGAAAAATGGATCGTGAGCTGAACAAATCGCAATATTCCATTCGACAAATATTTAAAAATGAGCTCGGGGTAAAGCCATTGAAATTTCAAAAAAGTGCAACAGAAAGAAAATAGACTCTAAAGAGCTAAAGAGTTGCTTCGCTTGGCCGAAAGTGGTGAACTGCCGAATTTGGTTTTCTCCGATGAGAAAACATTCGTTGTCCAGCAGTTTTTAAACCGAAACCGGTGGGCCACCAGAACTTAAGCGTCGGCCAATTGCCGCCATAACAGCCGATGGTTGCTCTCCGCTCGTATTGACATTGTTGCAGTTTTTTTTTTTATTTCATCCTGTATAATTTAGCATTTTTATTAGTGGACTTGAAAAATTTTCAATATAAGATTTTTATTTTCTCGAGTGAGCTGCTGAAAGTTTAGAGCTCCGAATTGGGTTGGAAAATAAGATTATTGAGTACGAAACTGATTTATCTTCTCTGGAATTAAAATATATTTTCCACCATTTGACTTTCAAACATGAAATCTCCAAAATAGATTCCGGCATTAATATAAAAAACATTTTTAGACGTCATCATGACTAATCAGTCGATCGATAGACCAACTATGGTCATCGTCGAACGTGTAATCGAAGCAGAGATTTATCTGGTCACGGAAGTTGAAATTAGTTGTCACAACAACTACCACTGCCTGCCATCTTTGACAACTACAACAAAAACTGTCCATCTGTCAACCAGTGCATGGACTGATATGAATGTTAGTGACACTTACATCATAAACCAGGTATTGCAGCAGCACTCCTAAAGCTTCTGTGCTCTTGGTCTGGTGAGCCGATTGTTGTTGCAACTGTTGCAGTTGCAACTGTTGCTGCTCAAATGCCTCATAGTTCAATGCACCGTTACACGAGTGCCGGTTAAGTAGTTTCAATTGCTGCAACTCATCGGCAGCGGCAGGTTCTGCTGAAGGTATTACAACTACGTCATCGGACAATTGCTGGTGCTGTTTGTGCAACAATGATTTTCGGCTAGCATTGGACGTGGACGTCGATGGCGATGACGATGACGTGTTATGTAATTTATTTTGCTGCTTCTGAAAGAACGAAACAAGTTGAATTACGAAATGGGTGGCAGGTGTAGAGAGCGCAGCATGGCTACAAACCTTTTCGCTGAGGTGACTGGCAACAGCTGGCGACGGGGCGGGTGTACTTTTCTTATTGTTAAGGCTCGAAAGAACCGGGGAGGATGTCCTGGAAGTTGTCCTAATGTTTTGTCCAGACTTGTCTGTGATCGCCGCCGCTGGTGTAGTTGCAGTAGCAGCCGTCGCTGTTGCACTGATGTGGTTGTTATTGTTGTGAAGAGAAAGACCATTTTCCTGAAGGTCTGTTGGCGTCTCCGGTTTGCTAGAGTTGCTCTTCGAAGACGGTGGCGTAATTGTTTGATTTATAATGCGATTGTGATCTGCAAAACAAAGAAAAAAGAAACGTAGAAAGTTATTAACAAAAGCTGTTGGCAGCAGAAAACGTGATTCACTGATCGTGACATATTTATCGTTTATATTTGGATCCACACACTACAATTATGGCATCTATCTAACGTTCAAACATCCCACAGCAGCTAAGGGCATGCATGTGAAGTTTATTTTTGAACGCTGCCTCATTTCGTGACAAATTAACGAAGTAAACAAAAAAAAAAAAAAACAAAGCGAACATCAATCACCTAATGTGGTTAATTTTAGGAATTACTTATGTTTCCATTAATAAGTTGTGTCTCTATAAGTGTTTCGCATAATTTGCAAATCGGCTAAAGTGGGGAAATCCTATTGCCCCTTATGATGGTAGTATAAGAGAAGTGGCTCATTTGGAAACTATTATATCTTATCGCAAATGTGACTGAGCTCAACGTAAAATGACAAACCAATCATCTAAAACATAAATACTATGGATGTATGCAGATACGACGGGGCCATTAACTAACATTTTCCATAAACGAAAACTAAGAATCACACTGATAACAGTAGGAGTGAAAATATTGTCAAATCGCTTGCTTTAAGACCTAATATTTAATACATAAACGCCCCAAATCGGAAGCGATTTTGCAAATAAAACAAAATATAACATGACTGGAAGAAGTTTTTTTGTAGATATCTCGTGAATTAATCTATTTTTACAGGAGTTTTTATACCCTACACCACATAGTGGTAAGAGTATGATATATTTGTGCATTTGTTTGTAACATGGAGAAGAAAGCGAGATAACCCCAAAGTTACTTTTGAGAATCTTCATAGAATCACTTTCTGAGTTATGTATGGCAGTCCGTCTGTCTGTCCATGCATGGTTATTAACAAAATGCAGATTTATTACCCGATGACGATGAAATTTTCCAAACAATATTAGTTTTGTCCAAGAACGAACCCTATTGAAAGTGGTGAGAATCGGTTCATATTTAGATGTAGCTCCCATATACATATTCAACCGATTTTGGGTTAATTACGCACCAAATGACCAGTATCCGTCCAAATGACCTGCATTTTGGCACATCCGACCGAATTCAATCTAGAATCAAGTGCATCAAATTTGGTCAAAATCGGTTCAGATATAGCTATAGCTTACATATATATGTTTCATCCGATTTGGGGTTTAAAATCCCTCACATATGTAATATGCACACCACAACAATGATACCTTTGTCAAATTTTATCGAGATCCGATCAGATTTGGATGTATCTCCAATATATATCTTTATCCGAAATCAGACTAATATCAGACCAAATAAAGTGAATTTTGGCAATTTCGACTGACTTCATCTTAGAAACAAGTACTTCAAATTTGGTGAAAATCAGTTCAGATATTGCTATAGCTCCTATATATATGTTTTATCCGATTTGGTGTTGAAGTTCCTCACATGCGTACTATAGAGATATATAAATATATAGCCTATAAAACTTTTAATTTTATTGAAATTGTGTAGCACTGTAGTGCAGTAGAACATTTTATCCTTTGATAATGAGAAATTGAAATCAAGTCGGATCAAGTACGAGATAAGTTCGAATCAAACACCCTTGTCTATAAATTTGAAATAAGTTTCACTAAAATCGCAACATATGAAATAATGACACATTAAATACTCAAATAGATTACCTTTTAAATGATTTAATCGTTTCTTTAATTTTCTGCAAATAGTTTGCGTCTGCCTTTATAGCTTATCCTGAGGATTTGAGGCAGAATATATCTTCCTTTGGAAGAATTCATGCATTTTCCAACATTTATTGGATGTGGATTTTATATCTTCGGCACTGCTTGTTTAGAATAGAACACTATTAACAGAAATGTAAATCTCCTCACTTTCATGTTCTTTATCTGCTAGGCATTTAGAAAATAGGGTAAGTGTACCGGTAGTCGGCACATTTAGAATTGTCAATGTTTCAATCTTTCTACATTCTGAGTGAAATCTTTCAATTGCAAAAAAATAAAGTTGTTCAGATTCCAAATTTTGTTTAGTTTTCGAAATAATAAACAACGATTGAATTTGCTTTTATTAAATTGGCAAAATTTGCAATTTTACTAAAATAGTAGTTTTTTGCCAGTAGTCGGCACCATTTTCCAATGTTCGGCATGTCTATTTGCCAGTAGTCGGCATATAGTATTTCAGTAAAAAAAGTATAATTTTGTATTTTTTTATTTCTAATAGTATAAAACAATGCTATATTACTAATTCACTTCAATTAATTAATTTCGTTTTTAAATAGTGTTTTATTTAATTATCATTCTAAACCAAATATAGGTAGAAAATCAAGAATAGTATGGTTACCTTCAGTAACGTATGGATTTTCAATTAAAATAATAATGAGACTAAATAAAAAAGAAGAAAGTACCTTTCTTATATTTGGAATTTGTGAATTGATCTCTTTCCTCTCTTCAAAAATGCCACGTCTATCTAAAACGTCAAATCCAACTTAATTTAAAAAAGTTGGTCAAAAAGCACAAATAAAAACAACTACCGACACAAAAATATTTTTTTTTTATTTGTGTAGTTTTTGGATAATTTTTTAATAGTTTTCTCAAGTTTTGGTGAAATGGGTCAAAAATTATATTTTTCTAGTAATCGACACCCCCTGCCGACAACTGGCAAATCTCTTTTTTTCTGTTCCTAATGTCGGCATTAAATAATAAAACAGAAAAATGCTTGATTTGTAAATTTTTTAAGTTATAAAATGATCTTTAGACTGTTTTTACTTCAATAAAATATTTCTGATTCCAAAAGTATTAAATTTAATTTGCTTAAATCGATTATTAAGTTGGCACCGCCACTAATTTTTTCTTAACAAACAAGTACTATCGCATGCGTTGGAAGACACTCACTGACAAAAACCGTTATTCTCTCGTAATAAATGATCGGAGCTCATTGTTTTTTTACAGAAAGAGAGCAGAGAAAACTGTTGACGTTTTTTTGCAATTATTTCATTATTTGGTCAATTCTATTCTTACTTATTTAAGTTTAAATTTCAAAACTGCCGACTACTGGGACATGCCGACCTTAGGCGCACTTACCCTATATGTACAATTTTTTCATAGAAAGATTTTTCAAGAAAGATTATCATATATTTTTATTTATATTTAAATTTAGATAGAAAAAAGAAGAACATGCTTGGCTCCAATACACAAATCATTAGGAGAACTAGAAACATTAGTAACCACCACTAATTAATCACTAATTGATATATTAACTTAATGTCATAATCACTATGGAAAGCCCCCAAAACAAATCGCAAAGACCGTCTCTTCTTTCAACAGGGAAAGTTAATAAACGACTTCGAACGAAAACGGCAGATATAATTCGAAACCATCAAATCTGCTTAAAGTGGCAGTCATCATTTTGTTAAGCAATTATGTCAAGCCATTTGTACAATTTTGCGAGAGTGAATTAAAATTAGTCCGCACAAAGCCGGCCAACTGGCTTGGTGTCCAGTTGGAGCAGCAACATTGTGGCAGACTTTAGTTGCAGCAAGAAAGTTCGATCTGTGGTGACATTCACGACATGTGATGTGACATTTGTCTTGAATGTGACGGCCGTCTTCGATGGCATCCCAAAAACGCCTCGACTTAAGCCTGCCAGCTCCAAACTCGGGAGGGTGATGCGTTGAGCAACACCAAAGTGGCAAATAACTTTCGATAATACCAATTTGCAATTAGCCCATACGAGTGGCAATGAGTGTAAACATTTTTATGATTACTTTTGTGGTATTATCACATACAGGCAGGCAGACAGACAGACAGGTTTGCATGAAAATGTCAAATGTATGAAAATGTGTAATGAAACCCAAAGCAAGTTTGTCGACTATGTATTGCCATGGGGCATATAAAAAGTAATATGTAATACCAGTATGGAGTTTGTTACGCAAAATGGCCAATATGGGATGAACATCAGTCAATTGAGACTATAATGTTGACAAGTTCACTAACTTCTTCCACATTCCATTGAAATTGGTATTTTCAGTTGAGTTTCCTTAAAAAGTCGACATCGAACGGAATGGTGCAGGTGATATCAGTTGTCGGCACACGACAACACTGCAATGACCTTGAAAAATATTTACCATGACAAATCGGCAGTAATTAATAACAAATCCCGAATTTATTGTCTACTCATACGATATTAATGGCCATTTAATATTGGCCATAATATTTATTGGCAACTAAATCCCATCGAATGTCCTTGCTTCATTCACACACAACAAGGTTGAACCTGTCAAGTGTCCTGTCACACCAGACGCTATTCAATGTCACTCATCATCACCAATTGTACAGGTATATTTGTCAGAATGGCAGACACTCCTTGACGTGTTTTCCGACAGTTACACAGACACATCTATCCACACACACACACACTCTTATGTTACATATGTATTTATGATTGATGGCCCATACAAGACACAACAGGTTAACACCAAGTCTGCCATTCATAAAAGTCATTGAGATAGAGACAAACGAGCTAATCGACTGGCATGCAGACAAATAAGGCGCAGGTTTAAATGTTTTTCATAATCGTTTACAATTGTTGTTGGACACCACCACCACCCAACGGGTTGTTGCTGAACGACGTATGACCATTGTCGTTTCATTAACAAAATTTGAAAAATGAGAAAAATGCTTGGAAATTCTTCAAGACGCCTAAAATGGACAAAATTGTTTTATGATGTGTGCACAACTGCATGTGTTGACACAAAAATCCTTCAGAAACATACATCCGACACTTTGCTAAAATTTTTAGATTAATATTAAAATCTTATATTTAAAATATATATTATTTGCCATGTGTTGTCGGACCTTTTAAATAGTGAAGTACCCAAATTCAATCCAAGCGAACTACATTGCTTGTTCCTCTCACCCTGATTTTTCAAAAAAAAAAAGTGTTCTTTTTATCACAACGTAGTAGTATTCATCACATTTGAAAGATATTATACA